CTGGCGCACAGACTTTCTGTATCCCTCTCCTCGTCTCTGCTTCTCTTATGCAGCGGTGCAATGAATTCCGGGTCGAAATCGTTATTGTTGTGTTGTGCGGCCCACTCTTGTGGACAGAGGGCACGCCAGCTCGAAATAGCGCAGCAGCCTTCTCAGCAACAGATACCGCACGGTCCAGCTTGAAGATCGAAAAACTCATGATTGTATCGCGGCTGCGGACAGATGATGTGATGTCCTGCTTTATAGAGACCAATTTTTCTATCTGCTCCGCCGCTCTGATGGTCTTTGTTGTCTGCTCGATTTCACATTGCAGAACCATCTCTGCAAAAGCCATTTGCTGCAGGGTCACGCCAAGGTTTACGCCATCCCTCCTCATCTGGAAAACCTTTGTGAGTGTCGTCTTGAAGCAGGAGCGCCCCAAGGATCGTTGCCGCTCCGTCTCCACGTTTTGTTCTCCTTCATCTCTGCTCGCATCTTGTTGCGAGTAGGGAGCTGGTGATCTGTTTGCTGCGATCGTACAAGTGGGATCCAATTTTCAGCCCATAACCAATGTTTTAGTTGCCATGTTATCTCTCCACGCACGGTTGTCATCATTCTGTTGCACTCCCCTATGACTGCGCGAATCCCGCACTCCGCTACGTGTGATCGCAGTCCTTCCTCGGCGTTCTCCCTTATCAGTTTGACCGTTATTTGCAGCGCCGTGAAGAATTCATCCTCTGTTGGGTACAGGGTTGCGTCCTTTGCTGCTGAGAACGCAAAGACTTTTGCGACCGTCCGGAACAGTCTGTCCTTCATTTTCTTCGAGAATACGCCGCTTTCTTGATTGCCTTGTTGCTATCCTCCCCTGTTCCCGCACTCTTTTTTTTGCGAGTTCGTGCCATCTGCTGGAAGACACACATTACAACGCACAAAATAATATTAAGAACTCGGCATTTCGCACCCATTTTCGCACCTGCCAAATTCGACAGCCGTTTCAACTGTTCGTTCATCACATCGACATTCTCGCATTAAGGAAATGTCATCACTTTGCGCCGTTACCACGTAATCGTTGTGCAAGAGGAGCAACTTCAACACATTTTGTTTACCTTTTTTAACTGCGTTGTCGTGCCTCACTAGTTGTCTGTCAATGGAGGGCGCGTCGGCTGCGCCTCCCTCGCCGCCACTTTCGGGTTCCCTCGTGCGTCGCGTTCTTCCCGGAGATGGGGAACTCCCTCTCCCGTCCGCGCTTCTGTCGTCTTCGCCTGCCCTGTCACCGCCCTCGTCCTGCGTTGTGTTGTCGCTCCTCCTGCTTTCCTCGTCATCAGCGTCGTGGGTGTCGCGAGAATGCCCGTCGGAAGTTTCACTGTCACCTCCCTCACCTCCCTCGTCACTTGTTGTCTCGTTCTCCGCCCCGTCAGACTTTTCTGATATGGACTGGTCGTGTTCCTCTTCTGCTTCCTCTCGGGCCCCGCTGTGCATATCGTCCGAGGCTCTCAGATCGATAATCTCCACCATTCTGTCCTTTTTGTACGTGATTCTCTTCTTTGTCCTGCGGTGCACCTTTGACATTCCGTCTTCCCGCGACCTCTTCTCGGGGGCCTTGGATGGACGGTTCTTGACGCCGCTGACACGGTTCCGTGGGGCAGGAGTCGTAGGGGGTGACTCATTGCGTTCTTTCAGCTTTAAAATCCCCCTCTGACCTGATGAGAGAGAACTTTTTATCCGTTTTTGCTGCTGCTGGTCCGCTCCGTTTTTGCATTCTGGGATCTGCTTCTGCGATGCTCTCTCCTTTCTTTTTTCTTATCAGCCTTGCATTTCTTCCTCCCCTTGTCCTTCTTTCCCACGGCCTTCAAGGACCTAACAGATTCTCGTATTTTGGCTTTGGAGTCATGACCCTTTTTCCCCCACATACATCAAAGTGGAATACGAACAACAACTGACTCTTTTTTCCCCACATACATCAAAGTGGAATGCGAACAACAACTGCGTCAACAATGTCGTGCGTCGATCCATACACCCCTGAAGTGTAATGGCCGCATTGAGTGAGAGAGAGAGAGAGAGAGAGAGAGAGAGAGAGAGGCACAACCAAGATCTTATTGTTGATACTGCGACGTCATTTAAGTTACCAACCTTTTTGTGCGTCAGAATGACTGTATCTGTATTCTCAGGCGGCACGGGTTCGCATAGTCACAATAACAAAAAAAACAAAAAAACAAAGAAAAACTTGGAACATGTCCCCGACCATCACCGCGAGAAGGTTGGCTATTGTGGGCTAATCAACTGGTGAAGCCACCGGTCTTTATGTAACAAATGCCCGCAGTAGTGAACTTTCCTCGCATCGTCCTTTGACGACCTCAACGGTCAATCTAACGGTCAATTCGTCCTTAATGTCAGTCTGCTCTTCTCTCGTTCTCCTCATGTCCCCGACTTTCGTTTTTCCCTTAATGCCGGATGACTCTTCGATTATCAACTGGGGAGACTTTGTTTCACCCTCTGTCATTATATCGTACATTTTCGCGCACCAAGGGTCCCTCAACATTTTCTGCCGCCTCTTTGCTGACCTCTCACTGGTCAATGGCAACAACGGTTCGCTTGCCACCTCTCTACGGTGCTGTTCGTCTTTATTTTCCATCCTTGGACCGATGACCGGTTTCATACCCACATATGAGTACTTCGCGCCGCCACCACACGTGTTACTTTTTTGTGACTCTGTCATCCTCGCTCGGCTTCTCTTACCTGCACCTTGTTATTCAGTATTCTGTGTCGCTCCTTTCCGAACGTTGCGCGATGTTGTAAGTTTATGTTCCTGTTCACACGTGTCGGTCAAATTGGAATGACACAGACGATTTGTTAATTTTTTTAACAACTTCAAATCGTTTTTATAGGATACTTCGGGGAGAGAGAGAGAGAGAGAGAGAGAGAGAGAGAGAGAGAGAGAGAGAGAGAGAGAGAGAGAGAGGTTGGGTACTGCGTGCCAAAACTGAAACGACTATCACTGTTGACCACGTAAATGTCACGCAGTAGTGAACTTTTGGCGACACTTTCGTCTCGCATGTGGTTTTCACCGCTTCATAAGCTTAGCCACATTAGACATGATATTTCTCAACAAATAACGGAAAAAAAAAGACGAATGTCCTCTCTTGTTCCCCTTTACTTTGGAAGAAACAACATGATTGTCCCGTGGCGACGACAGATAGAAACACTCTCTCTCTCTCTCTCTCTTAGCAAATATAGAAACTTAGTTTGCATTTGTTTCTTCTACAATATGTACTTGTTCAAATAAAACAGTCCTCACGCTGCTTTGCATGCTGCTTCGATCCCCATTGTGGTTTAGAGAAGCGCGGAACAATGTGAACTATGTCTACAATAGTGTCGGTCGAAACGACGCTACTGTGTTGATGTCCATTCAACTTCCCCCATTTCAATTTCTTGCAAACTGTCATGTGTTGTCGTTTACTGTCGACCTCCTTGTACCATTGCACAAATCCGCAGTTGTGTTCCATATTACCGCTGTCCGCGGGTGCGTCCACGACAAAAAACATGGCTACTGATGCAAACCATGTGCATTCGTTGCCTGCTCTAATTGCGACGTCAATGTGCACTGGTCTCCCATAAAACTGTGGCAACGCTCTTGCAGTTTGAATAAGTGTGCCCCTGTTTATTCCGTCCTGTACGCAAGCGATGGCCAGGTGTGTCCGTGTGTGTATAAGCAGGTCGTCAGAAGGAGGTTGACAACCATTCTCCACCATATATGTCGTAAGCGCAACTCGATAATCGCGTCTGCAAGGAAGCTCTTTGAGTATCTTACACGCATGGTTGTCAATGCCTTCTCCCTCACGTATGTACTCGTCATCGATGTAGAACCACCACAGTTGCAGCATTGCCGTATCGCGTAGTGCAAGGGTGTTCATTCCGGTGGCCATACAGTCTGTCACGGACGACCGGTTCTCAACCGTTCTCTTCCTCCGTTTCCTCACAATCCCGATCTCTTCGCGCAACGCCAATGACCGGCGCACATGGTTTACCATCTGGGTTGAATCTTTCCGTTAGTTTGATGATAAGTATGGTTGTTTGCAGAATTTCCTGTGGTGATACTCTCAAACATCCGTCGCGAAGGTGTCGGGGATACCGGATCGCTCAATACACGTTGTCAGATGCATGAGATCGTGCAACTTGGGGAGTTTCCATGTTGATGGTTGATATTTTCCCAATTTTCCTTTGATAGTCGTTACGAAGTCCGTGATCAAAGCGTCGCATTCATCGAGCGAAGCACGAGTGTGTGTTGTACACCGAAACACTCGTATGTACATTTCCATTAGTTTCACAGAACAAACGGTAATGTCCTTGTCTGTCGAGCGGGGTATAATATTAGAAATAAGGAATACGCACACTGTCATCACAGACCGGTTTTGCTTCGCCTCGAACCGTCCCTCCCTCGAAAAAAGTCGCTGCCAGTGACCACCGGCAACACAAGTTGGGGGTATGTTCGCGTGCATCTCTCACTAACGCTTTGCAACCTTGCATCTAGTTCCTTCAGGATCTCTGTTTGCGGTAAGTGCGACAACTTCTCAAAGGCTGCGGTCCAGAATGCGTCAATCATGTGCAGGAATATGTCGTGCTTGATTGTGTGCATACGGTCTGGTTGCAATGACAAGTGGTAGTCTAGCTGAGGATCGTCACCATTGGGGCCCCTGTAGAACCCCCAAAGGTCGTTCTGTTGAACATGCCCATGCATGTTCAACTCCGACATTTGTGCTTCCGCTGGACGGCGAACGTCGATGTCGTCGGCGGTGAACACATCTGCTGTGAGGTGTGTTTCCAGCATCTGTGATCTCCTGGAGTCTGTGAAATCGGCTATGACATCAAAATCGTTTTTGAACACGGTGCATGTCGGACATACACCAAACTTCACAATTGCAAGCGCACATCGTTCTGGGTAGTCCTGGATATAGTTGAGGAGGAAAGGGTAGACAGTTATGTCCCCGAATCCCGTTGTCGGTATCATTATTCCGTCATGAGATGCCTCCTTCGCAGACTGCAACACCACTGAAAGGGTCTTGTGCAAAATGATGGTCTTTTGCTTTCTGAGTGCGGTGGACTGCAGACCCCATCCTTTGTCACGCGGACGATGATGAAGCACAGGAAGATAGGCCAGCAGTGTGGCTTCGGATGCGTGGTCGGCTAGTGACATCATCAGAGGGTACGCCGTCTGTTTTTGACGACCGTCTGTATGTGTCTTGTCGGAATACAATGAAAGAGCGATAACATAACGTGGATTACCATTCTCGTCCACACCTTTTTCCGCTCGAATGATCGACTGGATGTGATAACTTAGCGCCCCGCTGCGTAGGCCGGATATACTGAGGTGCTCTGACGACGGAGACACTTCTAGAGAAGACACCGTCTCGCATTTCTGTAATGCGATATGAAAAATCGACAGAAATGTCGTTCGCCAGTCACGGTGCCACAAGATGGCGTGCGCATCCCGTGGCCAATCGTCACAACGTAGATCCAACTTTTTCCATCCAGCAGCCTCTGCCAGACTCCATGCCCATGTCAAACACTCTCGGCTATTACGACATGCGATGTCTCTCGTGCAGAATCTCGGGTCTGTAAGAAGTGACAAGAGAGCATCTATGTCGCTCTGCGACATACCGATGTCGCCCCTGGCGGAGAAAATTAGTGTCGCCAGCTTGCGAGAGCTGTCAAAAGATTCGACAGGCTGCAGTTGCTGCTCTTCGAATGTCCCGCCCTTCCCGTCTACATTCTCGGGGGCCCCGGCGTCCTCGCTCTCATCGCTCACGAGATTCACTGCACCTAGACTTGATGGTCCGGCGTCATCGACCACACCCATCTCCTGGCCATGTGTTCTTTTGTCGCCACGGCCGAGCATGCCCTTGCACGATGTGAGTTCAAAGTTCGTAATGACATGAAAGGCCTGCCACAGTCTCACACCCGTGGACCGCTGTCCATTTTCTGTGCACGCAGAGCATTCCAAAAACAAACAGAGCGGTGCGGACAGTGTTTTCATTAGTATTTTGTACATTGGTTCAGGTCGTTAGAATTATAAGTTGCAGAGCATATTTTGTTATATTATGTAAGTGTCGCACATCCTCTTCTCTGTGAGAAAGAGATAGAGAGGGAGTACTGATTGCCATTTTTGGTACGAATGGTTTGTGTCGCTGATCCCAATTGACAAAGATTAGTAGTCAACCGTGCGACACGATAATTTATATGCCATAATAGGTTCTATGGTCGTGTAGGAAGAGGCAACTACTTACGCATGGTACACGATATATGACACAACATTCATCACCACGTTTGTGCGGCTGACCAAGTTCGTAACTATCCATCAACGACGTTTGTGAATGTGGTATGTGTTTTCCATGTCCGAGTGAAAATGATTGCACCTCGGCACCTCAGCTGACCTCCACACAAACTTTCAAAACATTTTACAACCTACTACATTTGAATTTAAATTACAGATAATGCAAAAAAAAACACAACATACACACATTGGTCATCACAGGGGGTCTGATGTGTCTCACGTACTCTAAAAGGCAACAAATTATGACATACATCGTAACAATCATCAAATGATTGAAATATTGTTCAATCCTGTGTCTGCACGCTGTAGTGAACCGCATGTACTTGGAGAGGCAAACAACAGGCAACATTAAATGTAACCCGCAGATGGATGTAGAGGTTCTAATATAGCTAAAACTCGACATATGAGAAAGAGAGAGAAAAATAAATAAATATATATATATATATACATACATAGAGAGAGAGAGAGAGAGAAGAGGTTCACTAGTGCGGGCCAAAACGACAACAAACAGCACCGGTGGACACTGATATGACACGCAGTAGTGAACCCGACCATCGTTGAAATTGAGGCAGACATAGAGGGATGTACAGGTTGAAGGATGCATGTCTGTCATCATCCCTGATGTCTAACATGGTCTGTCGTGGTGTGTGGGTGTGTCTCCGGTCGCTGCCGTGACCGAGCACTAACTATTGCGTCTCCTGTTGACAAGCCGGGGTGCAATGTCTCTCCCCAAGTTGTCGCCATTGCGCCGTGTATGAGGCAACTCAGGTTGACTCCCCATGTTAGTGACGTTGCTAGCACAACCTCTCTATTGACCACAACAAACTATCCCTTGCCAACACGTGACCACTTTTTCCCCTTGTTGCATGATTTCATTATGCTGGTCACTGTGGCATACTGTAGTGCACCATCTGGTGTTGCCCCCTTCATCACAACACGCAATACTTTGTGCGGATCGGGAAAAACACGTGCCAATCTCAGAATTGCATGTGCCCACCCTTTTGTCACTTGTCCACCCACCGCCTTCAAAACATAGTATACATCATGTTCCTCGTTTTCCTCGTCGCTACTGACATCGTTGCCGCTCACTTCCACGTCATAAGATGATGCCCCCTCATCCTCTTCTTCATCTTCTTCTTCTGCACTGTCTGTGTACTCTGCAAAACAACTTGGCAAATCGGTCTCTTCAAATCCACGATCACACTGTTCTTTCTCCATTGTGAAAGCATTGAAGATATCGCAACACACTAGTTCCTCTCTCGTTGCTATCTGCATGGGGGGCACATCGATTGTCACACTGGTTATTGATTCTTGTGCTGCTGATGTCTGTCCATTGTCTGGAATGATTGCTAAATTTGTTTCCGTGGCCATCACCTTCCACCCTTCTTCTCTTTCTCTTTGTTTCTCAACATCGCAACTTACAAGACCGAGTCGCTCCAAAGTAGCTGATAACAACTCCCCCCACAACGGTCTGCCAGATATGATGTTGTCTTTTGTTCTTGCTGGCACAAATTCTATCAGATCTTGACCCTGCAGTGCAAACTCTGTGACTTCATGCAACGCCTCATGGATGACGTTCCTGTCGTCGTCACTGTTTTTCATGAAGTCCACAAGTTGATCCAACAGAATATATTCCACACCATCTGCGACAATGACAGGAACATCTTGAAAGTCTTCTGGCGGTGTTTGTATAATGTCCTTCATTCTAGACAACACCAATATTTCTGCAGCACCACTCTTCAACTCGTCCTTCAACCCATCAACCAGCATTCCCCCATTCCGTGTCACAGTGCGCAACAACTTGCCCAAGCTCGCAGGTGTATATGTCCCCCCTGTCTGCTGCATTGTCATGTCCACGTCTCCTTCTTCGCACATCCCTTCGCAGAAGATCCACTAGACCACTCCTTTTAGACTGTATGCACTGTCTTCCACATCGTTGTCCACACGTACATATGGTGAATCTCTGAAGCGTTGCAAGAGTGTTCGTGCTTTGACACAGCCTTGGTCATTTGCCATGATTGTGGATCTCATATCCACAGCGACTATGAAGTACCTCGGCACCCTGTCCTGAAACAAAGACAACTCGCTGTCACCATTGTAATGGACGCCCTCCTTTGCATACTTCATTACCTCTGCAAGAGCAGCCTCCACCTGTGCTACTGACATCGACATGATGCGTACGGTTTGTCTTTCGTCCTCTTCTCTCTGCCAGCGGAAATGCACAATGACGTCATCGACATGTGTGTGTGTGTGTGTGTGTGTGTGTGTGTGTGACGTCTATGTATGAACCTATGTGGATGTCGGTGTGTTTTTGTGTATATGTCTATGGATGTGTGTGTATGGATTGTTTGTTGCTTGTGTCTGCGTGTCTGTTCCCAAGTTGGCTACTACGTGCCATTCGAAGTTGCAACGGTAATCATTCGTCAGTTTCTGGCACGCAGTAGCCAACTTTAAGGGTGCATGCCAGAATGTGTGTGTGTGTGTGTGTGTGTGTGTGTGTGTGTGTGTGTGCGTGTGTGTGTGTGTGTGTGTGTGTGTGTGTG